CTTTAACTTTTCTTCAATCAAGAAAGGTCTTTAGTGTTTTATGGTTTTTCTTACAAAAGCTTTCTACCTATAATAGCTGAAAGAATGAGAAAATCCTCATATAAGACCTTCACTTCTCTATTTATAATAAAAAGTAGGGTTACAACACATATGATAGCTCCATATGGACACATAACTTGCTCTTTTGTTTTATACAATTTGGAGCCTTGAAGAGCTAGTAGTGCATGCCTTGGTTGGTCGAGGCACATGGTTGTGCCTAGTTTGCTCTTCATTCCCTATCCTTTAGCTTACGCCTATATATCGACTTTTTCTCCCTTGGAAGACATTTCAACAATGACACATACATGCATGTCACATTTTCTACCTAAGTCATATTGATTCGTTGCTACCTATGCATCTTTTTTGCTAAACATTCATACGGTTTTCTTCTTTATTTCACACGACTAATGACTTTTTCCTCTTGTAAGTCATATAATCGTGTGTCTCCTTTGGTTCTTTTTTGGCTTTGGCTTTTTATGCACTTGGGTTTGGGTTTATTTACTCTAATTTGTCTTTTTTCTTATAAAAATTCAAAATCATTATCTTGTTCTTAATTATCTTAGTATAATACAATAAACATTGGCAAATTTAATGTAAAATTGCATAAAAATTGTGTAAATTATGCACCAAACACAATATAGGCTCTCAATCTTTAAAAATCCATCTATCAATTGATATTAGGTTTTTTTGCTAAAAATTAGCTAAAATTCTAATCTTTATCCATGTTTTCCCTCTTGAGTATGGGTATTGGTCTTTGACCAACTTAAATCCCAAATTACTCTATCATTCCATCCTATCCTAATAGAACAAATTAACTCAAAAAGACATAGAAACATAATATAATAAAATGAAACTTTCATTTTCCCATGCATTCAATGTAGTTTATCTTAGATAAGATGGGATGGTAATGATATTATATTTTTTCTATATGTAACCAACCCCTTACCTAGATATCTATATAGACTAGTTTGTTTTAGGATTTCTTATTTCTCTCTAATAGCTAGGTGGTGACTTCCTTCGCTCGCCTTCTCGCGAGCATTTATTGGCACTCAGTATCACCTGCATACCTCGCTAATAAAATGGTCGAAGAATAATCATAAGGGATATATCATCCCTCTTTTGTGATAATCACCCTTGGAGGATATTGCTTCTCAAAGTTCGGGGTTGGATTACCATTAAAAAACCTAAAGAGGTAAAAAAATATCTATATTCCTAACCTTATTAAAGAAATATACATTCTTTAGAATCTCCAATAACTATTTAACATCGAGCTTGGACAAACCCAAGAGTTCTTCTAAATCTATCACAAAACTCTCTTGGATGGTTTCTAATTTGCCCTAAAAAAATTTTCATATCCAAAGAAACATCCTTCTTTTAGGTCACAACTACCAGCTTACCCCGTATCTCTTCCAACTTAGAGATAATGACCCTTCCGTCCTCCAACTTCTTTACCACCATTAGATCTCGAACATAACAACCTCTTTGTCAATAAGGGCCTTGGCTGAGGAGTCACCCACCTTGTTTAATTTGCCCTCTATCTCTGTATGAAGGGAAAATATCTCTATGTCCTTTGCCTAAATAGAAACCCTATACCCACATACTAAATTAAACGATCATGAACGTTTCTCTCTCTTAAACTCGCCATTTATGAAATCCATAAGCTTGTATTTAAAAGGCTTATAAAAATTGCTATATCACTATTATAGGATATTCAAGAAAAATAAAAATAGAAAAAGAGAGGAGGAGAAAGTACTTACTATCAAAATTAGTTGTATTACCTTCCTCATGTCAATGGCTAAAGAATGACCTTCAAAATTTTATATGTCCAAAAAACGAGAAAACCAATATCGAGTAAACGAGATAATATCCTTTACTTTCCCGCCCTATAAAGTGGAACTATTTCCAAAAAGGTCTCTATTCAAAAAAATCCCTCCAAGTAAAGGAGTAAAAGTATACCCCGATCTTGGAGCAATAGAGGGACCTATAGAAATAAAGAACCTATAGTGATAGAAAAACCCACAACGACCTTCTTATTGGATGTCTCGAGGCTGAATAATGTCCGAAAATAAAGAAGAACCCTCTATGCAAGTAGTTGGATAACCACTAAGGAAGAAGTATCTACCCATACCGAGGGAGAAATGGGTTAGGCTATAAGATTATGGATGGATGAGGCCCTAAAATTTGTACTAATAAAATGCCCAATCTAGGAAAAGGAAAATTAGTCATTTTTTTCTTATTTATACGAGTTTGGGCTCTGTCAAACCTTGTCTTTCTCACTACCGTAAGTCCTATAGAAGGAAAGGAGGACCCAATACCATCAATGTTTATCTCTAAAACCACCCTCTTATTAGATTCTTTAGGCTCCACCTTGAGCTCTCCCAACCTGGACTCTCATGTAGACACTTCACTAACCGTAAAAATTATAAAGAAGATAGAAAAAATGCTTAAATTTAGTACATCTATCCTATAAATATAAGATAATGACAACCTTGTAGCAAGAAAATTGATTCGATGCTTGCCACTTGTACTTTTCATCCACTCTCAAAAAGCCAAGTCAACATTCGATCGGGACGAGATGGCATTACAACAATATTTAAGCCTCCTTTAAAGAGGAGTACATCCCTAAATTGACCAACCTCTACCCCATAAAGAGAGACCCTTTATACCTAATAGTAAACCATTTACCTCTTTAATCGACTAGGTTAGTAGCCCTTATAAATACTTTTTAAAATTCCTATTTTTCTCACCGGAAAAGTATGCATATGAAGCCTCTTACAAGCCTCTCTAGTACCCTCTGCTAAGAAATAATAATATAAAAACAATCTAAAAGAGAGATAAATTCAAATTATTAACATAAATTGTTAAATACAATAAGAATGGTCCATCCATTTGGATGAAGTTGGTAGATTCACATCAAAATGCTAAAAAAAATATACCATAAACTTGAACAAAGGGAATTTATAATTACACTCAACCATACAAGCATGAACAATTATTTTTATATTCTCATCCATGGTTATAGATGTATGCCTCTTCATTTTATCATTTGGTTAAGGATAACGAGAAGATAACCCCTCTAAAATAACCAAAAAACTAGCTATTTTTTTTCTCAAAAACCCCAATAGAACTCCTATATATAAAGAATAAAGCAAATCTATATGTACTTCTAAAAGGAACTATCATGTCTATATTAAGGTTTACTCCATCATTATTGAGAATAGACCCAAATACATCCTCTCTAAATCTATCATTTTCAATTAGACACTAAATGAATGAAAAAAAAAAGATTTACTTACCAAAAGCTTAAACTACTGGTCAAAAACTAGAGAACTCCATAACAAACCAAGTTATCTCTCAAAAGTGTTAGTCTACCATGATTTCTCATGATTAGAGAGAAGGATTGAACTAGAGAATCCTTTACGACAATGATCTCTCTAAGAGACTCTAAGCAATTACAACCATTAGTAATATTCATAAATTCTTTGATTTTACATCATAGTAAAAACGAAAACTAACATAAAGTGAGAAAATAAAGATGTCATCACTTATTTATAGGAAAAAAAAGCACGAAACCTTTGTATTGAATACTTGGAAGCCTAAATCTAGTATACAAACCCGATCCAACATAAACCAATCGCAATTCAACATCAATCCCACACGACAATCGAGGTGGACACTACTTAATAATCATAAGAGACTTCAAAGGGCTCAATCTCTTCAATTCTTTTCAAAGACCTCACGTGCAAGTGTTTGGTTTTGTTTATGTAATCGTACATTTATCAAAAATACGAGCATTAAATGATCCATGTGCCTACTAACATCAACTATGAAAAAGGCAAGTAAAAAATTTTTAGCCATCCGGACATTGCTAAATATTTTCTCGAGAGACCTAGACGTACATCATAAATTGAGTCTTTGCCAATTGCACTTGCCAAAGACTTAGAGGGGTAACTAATATACCTACGTGATCATAATCATAACAAGTGTCTCCACGTTTCACTTAAAGACCACTTGATCAAGAATTTACCCCGAACAAAATAATCTTGACCAGTCGCTAATAGTCACCACGATCGGTAAGATCTAGCTAGTCGGCATAGATAGATGGTCCAAATAAAGAATAGATCTTTCAACTCTTTTGATAGACCAAAATAACATTTATTTAATGAAGGCATGGTTTTCTAAAATATTCTTATCACATCATCACCAACTATGATTGTACATGCATAGTTAGATAACGACCGTTGTCTAGCAGAGTTCCAAACCCTTAAATGGATGACGAAACCGTTGAATACAAAGAGAAAGATTATTTGAACTTTCACTTCATACAAGTAGATCATGCCTTCTCCTGTAGAAAAGCTAAACAAGCCAAAACTTATAGTTTCTTTTTCTATATCAAAATAGTTATGTTATCAACTATTTTTTACATACAAAAGCTAATCATTTCTTATACACAAAAGCTAATATTTAAGACATACTTAGGCTAAATACTTTTTTTTATATAAATTATTTAACTACTAGAAAAAGACTTATTATGTAAATACTTTTGATTGAATCCATATCAATTAAGTTAGAACAACTACACAATCAATGTAGATTAAAAGTTATTTCATCAACAATCATAATATAAAATTCATCGCTTCGTCTCAAATCTCGCAACTATAATAACTTGGGAACAATAAACAGTAAAGGTGCTCAAATACGTCAAATCTCAAGTACTCAAAATTCCTTTTCGTCCTCAATACCTACTCGTAGTTGTAGTCCAAGGCTAACAAGGCCCATAGTCTTATGACACCAGAGAAATCTTGTCCAAATTGAAGGCCCATGACAACCGTACGGCACAAGTCAGCAGCAAACTGGAAAAGAAAAGAGTGTAACTACTGATTTTTTTTCTTTTCAGAATCGGAAACAAACAGAGAATTGAATTGAAGAGAAGCCAAAACATCTCTCTCTATTCAATAAAAATGGACGCAGAATTGTTAGAACTGCAAAAACAATTCGAGTCTGCGCAGCAAGCAAAATCGAGCATCCGATTATCTGAAAGAAACGTCGTCGAATTAGTCCAAAAACTCCATGAGCTTCACATCATCGATTTCGACCTTCTCCACACCGTCTCCGGCAAAGAATACATCACTCCTGTACGTATCATCGGTTCTGACCTCTCTCTGTCTCACAATTTTCTTTTTTTTACTGAACTTTCTTTTTTTTAGGAGCAATTGAGGCATGAAATGGTGTTAGAGATCAAGAAATTAGGACGTGTTTCGTTGATAGATCTTGTAGATATTACTGGCGTTGATTTATACCATGTTGAGAACCAAGCTCATCGCGTCGTTTCGGATGATCCGAACGGCCTTATGTTGATCCAAGGAGAAATTATCTCACAGTCTTATTGGGACAATGTTGCTGAAGAAATCAATGAGAGGCTTCAAGAATGTAGTCAGATTTCCTTGGCGGAAATCGCTGCCAGTTTGAATGTTGGCTCTGAATTTGTGTCTTCCATGTTGGATGCCCGCCTCGGGACTTTGGTAACTTTGTCGTTTCTTTCTTGAATGTGAATGTGGTTTTCGCAATGAAAAAATGTAAAAATTTTCTTGGCATTTAGGTGAAAGGTAGGCTTGAAGGTGGACAATTGTATACACCAGCTTATGTTGCTCGTGTTAGCGCCATGGTTCGTGGTGCTGCGAGGGGTGTTACTGTTCCTACAAATTTGTCTGCGCTGTGGGGAGCTCTGCAGCAGCTGTTACAAGCAATGGATGGAGCTGGTGGTGTGGCTACTGAAAGTTCATTTTTTCAATCCTTATTTAATGAGCTGGTGAAGGAAGGGGAGGTTCTTGGATCACTTCGTGCGGGAGTTCATTGGACTCCAACTGTATGTTTATAATAACTTGACTTTGGATATTGCAAGTGCTAAAGATTCAACTTATTAGGATAATGGTTTTGATTGCCATTTATGTTAATTTCAGTGAATTATTGGTGCATCTCTTATTTCATGCTTCAGCTTTTGAAGAATTAAAGCAGTTGTTTGTCTGTTAACTAATGAAGTTTTTTTCTGAAGTTTTTATGTAAAAATTTCAACAAGGGGACTGCCTACAGTTTTGATTTAACCAAGGGAGTTTTTTTACAGTGAATCTTGTGATATATACACTTTCCATGATAATTTAGGTTGAAATATTTTTAGTTTGAGGGAAAAAAGTAAAGAAAAAAATTTCTATGGGAAAGTGAATTTGGTTGTGGGTAGAGAGCAACATGTGGAATGCTTCAAATTTTATTTTCTTGCTTTATCGCATATCGCATCAAATAGCAAGCTTTTTCCCTCATTGAATTTAGTTGTGCGACAGGTGTTTGCCATTGCTCAAAGGGAGTGTGTAGATTCTTTCTTTTCTCAGGTTTGGAACCCAGTTCTCCTACCCAATATTAATTTCGTTGGATACCTATATTGCTTCACATATGATGTTGTTCAAAAGCTTGTTCGATCATATGGTTTGCTGTCTCTATGGCTGGAATATAATCTGCGTTTTGAATTATAAGACTTGATTGATCTGTTTTTTATCATCTCTTTTCCTTCTTGCACTGGGGATGTAGGTTTTTTAGTTATCACGTCAATCTTAATCGTTTGTTTTTCCCCTCTTTGTTGCAGAATTCTTTTATCAGCTATGATTCGTTGCAAAAGCTTGGAATTTCCCAGCCTGTTCAGTTCTTGCAGGTACTTATAACATGTCTCTGAAATTTTGATTTGTTTTCTTTCAATCTCATATGATTCATGTGAAGTACTTTCATTGTACTTGAGAAGTCTTTTCTGTTTGTCTTATCAAAATGTGTGGTCATGGACTCCAATTTAGTCCAGATATGCTGAAGGTATACCACTGGTAACTGCATTTGTTCATCCCTCCATGATTGAGATGTTGGATGCTGCTGTCGAGGATGCTATTGAACGTGGTAGCTGGTGAGGCAATGGTTACCTTTCTTTTCTCTTTTTCCTTTTTGTTGGTTAAATTAACTATGAAATGGTTTGCCTCAAAATGTTGATTGAAATTGTTTTCCCAATATCTTTATTTGTCTGTCGTTCTCATTTTTGTAGTTTTATTCAACATTGCTGAATTATCCAGGCTTTCTTTGACCCATATTCGAGGCACTAGTTATCACTATTTCCTGATGCAATATGAATCGTTGACAGGTCATATTCAAGGATTGAAATTGAGAATAAATATCTTTCTAATTGAAGATTTCATTTTCTTTATTTTTTTTTATCTATCAAAAAAAAAAAAAAAAAGAGTACATGTGCAATTTTTTTCTTATACTATTTACTTTGACTTAATCTTAGGTGTTAATTGTTATCATCTATTATTATATCAGTTTCCTTTCTTCCTGTTTTGCTCCTACCAATTGGATTCTTATAATTTCTGATGATAATACTATTTACTTTGACTTATCCAACTCGTTTATTGTTATCATCTATTATTGTATCAGCTCCCTCTCTTCACATTTTGTTCCTACAAATTGGACTCTTATCATTTCTGATGATAATCTGATGTACCAGCTTCAGTTTTCCCTGCAGTTATGGCATGTGTTATGGCCATCATTGTTATTTGATGTTTTTTTCCTTCAAAAAATGTGACTTAAAATTCAGTGGCAGGATATTCATATGAACGGAAGGATTTTCTTTTAGCACTTGTGCAAGTGTAATTTATTTGAGCACAATGTGAAGGCGTTATTGATGTTACTTGCTGTGATTGGATGAATGATTGCAGGATTGATTCTCTTTCTGTATTACCCACTTCTTTTGGATCTGAAGATGCATCTAAGATTTTGTTGCATTGTGATTCTGTTCAGTCGGCACTCAAGGTGATGGTTTTGCCATGGCAATAACAGTTCTGTCATTGAGTGAATTGTTTTTTTCATTTTCCTTTTTATTCTTTTCAGGGTAACAAAGGAATGATCTTGGGGGATTCATATGTATTTAGCAATGGCTTTATCAAGGTTTGTCTCCAAAATTAATATTTGATGTTAAAGTTACAAGGGCTTACTGTTTATATTCCACTTTCACTACTCTCATTGATGCTAGGAAAATTGTTTCTGAACTACTTAAAGATGATTTTTCATTGTTAATTTTTTAGTCTAGAAATGGGCATGTTGCTCATGTCTACTTGCATCACTCCTGTCAATACTTAAGCATAATATCGGAAGCTATATATTTTTTTTACATAGACAGATATATGAAAAAACACACTGTTTAGATACATGAAGCAGTGGTAATACTGACAATAGTGTCAGGTTGGCCCTTTTAGCATTACTGGCATATCAAGTTAGATTGATCTAATTCTCTCAGCTGGTGCTATGAAAGGGTCAGAATGTTTTAAAAATGTAAAGTCAGAGATGTGTAATGGGATTCCCTTCTAGGTTATCTTCATGTTGTTTTTGATCTATCACTTTTCATTTATGGAAGACTTCGTTTTGATAGTTTTCTTGAAAACCAGTCAAACTTAACCCCTCATCTTTATGTGGGATTTATGAACCTTTAAATTAAAAGAATAGTTTATTCCTTCTATTCCCATTCTATGTATTTTACTCCTGCAATTTGTTTTGATTTTGGGTGCATTGTATTGTTGAACCAACTTTATTCATTTATTATATTATTCTTTGATCTAATTCGAATTCAGATGCCTCCAACCTTGTCTCCAGCAATTTGTTGTGTATGGTTACAGAGAGATGGTTGCCGTGGTTTGCATGTGTTGTTTATATCTGCTTTATCTCTCTTTGGAATTCTGATGCCTGAAACCATGTCTTTTCATTGCTAGGATGTTTATGATCGGATGGAGAAAGAGATGGAGGTCTTTAGGCTCTCGGGGCCTTCTGGTGTTATACCAAGTGATGACTCGCACTTGGTCACAGAAGCTAAAATTAGAATTGATTCTAGCCGGTCTGGTGAAGTAAATGAAACTGTTAATGAGAAAAGGAAGAAAAAAGGAAAATCTTCTGGATCAAGAACAGCTGATATCGTTATAGATGATGAGGAAATTATTCCTATGAAATCTAAGAAAAACCAAAGGAAAGGCAAGGAGGCATCTTCAGCTCTCTCTGATATAAAAAAGGGAGCTAAGAAAGATTTGGCTAAAATGCAAGAGGACGATCTTAACATTCCTTCAGAAGACTGGATAATGCAAAAGATCCTGATTCTGGTTCCTGATTTTGAAGAGCAAGGTCTGTTTGTTTTTATATCGTTCCTTTTTCTTGTAATTGTCCAGCTGATTAGGCATTGATTTCATGCCATTTTCTCACTGGTGAAGTTTTCTGATTTGGCAGGTTTGGAAGATCTACAAACAATTCTTGGACCTTTAGCTAACCATATGAGACCCATGTTAATTAATTCTTTAAAGGAGAAAAGAAAGATGCTCTTTACAGAAAATGTTGTGAAAATGAAGCACCTGCTTGATAATTTGCAAAAGAAACTTGATGAGGTTTGCACTGTTATGATTGCTTATGATTGCCAATTCATCATCTACATCCAGTATTTTGACATTCTTGTGATTGAGTGTTATGTTCAATGTGCTTTCTTGGTAATGCAGGCTGTAATTCATTTTAAAGTTCCGTCACCTTTATTTTCCCTTGAGACATGATTTTCTTTTTGCAGGCTTTCTTAAATATGCAACTGTATGAAAAGGCACTAGATTTGTTTGAGGATGACCAATCAACCTCTGTAAGTTCTACTTCTTCCTAAATTAATTGATATAAACAAAGTTGTTAATGGATAGATTAACCACCCAAACAGGTAGCTATTTTGTGATGAAACGGAATAAAGACAAGCCTTATTTATGGTTTGCAGGTTGTCTTGCATAGGCATTTGTTAAGAACAATGGCTGCTTCTATTGGAGATATGCTTTTTCATAACTTGGTAGCACTCACTGTTCTGTTTTGTTCACCACTTATTTGGTTTCAATAAATTAGGATATTTAATCTGGAGGATGGTCTGATGCTAAGACTGAAACGTAAATGTAGGACATGCGCAACAAATTGAAGAACGGAATTAAAGTTGAAGAGTCTCCAAATTCAGAATCTATCACACTTGGTTCTGCAGAAAGAACTTCTCTTGTATGAAATATTTACTGCCTTGCTTTGTGCTTTAAGAAATTGGTCAAAAGTTTAGATATGCTAAGCAATGATCTCCTCTTTTATGCACTCCCATTCCTCGTGCAGGTAAAAAGCTTTCCAGGATCCCTTTCGAAAAAGGCTCTTGCAGTAGTTGAAGCTTTGGAAGGAAAGGTCAGTCCTTGACTGCAAAAAGTTGCTCTTTCCATTTTCAAGAGTTATTTAACTGAAGTGGATTTCCTTTAACTCTTTGCACCCTTGTTTGGTTGGGTGGAAGGGACAGAGTAGAGTGGTGCTAATGTGGCTTGGGGTTGAGGGATTAGACTACACTTTGCTTGCTTGCAACACCAGTTTGGTTCTCTCTCTCTCTCTCTCTGATGTAGGTTGGAAAGAGGAAAACAATCAAAAAATGCATTTACAGCAAAAGGATGGGTAAAACATGAATAAAGTTGACGTTTAAATGGGATAGACTTAGGATTGAGAGAGAAACTGTTACAATCTGAATAGATTGATAAGAAACAAAAAAGATCTTGTAATCTAATAAGCCTATTTGTACTAGTAAAAAGCCCTAATCCTAATCCTATTCCTTGTAAGGAAAAGAAATCTCTAATGAAAAAACCCACATGCTAATGACATGGCATTGGAGAATCAAAATAATATAGGGTTTTATAACTGAATAAGAAAACTGAAATTAATAAGGAAAATATTATAATGCTACTGCATATCTCTCTCTCTCTCTTGGCGGGTGGACAAAACAATAGTAGCTAACTCATCCAGTTCTCTACAACCCATCCCTGATTCAAGTCTGAGCAGGTTTCAGCCCAAATCCTTGGATTCAACAACCAAGAGACTTTTCTAGCAGCCAATCTAGCTATCTCATTTACTCTTTGCTTCACCTACGTTCAATTTTTAAAAATATCCAGGAGATATTTGATCTCATTTACTCTTTGCATTTGTGTACTCATTCTACTGAGCAGCGGGTGGAAGCATTCATGACTTCGCTCAGAGAGGTGGCAGAGGAGAGGTAGTTTTGTTTGTGCCATTATTATAATTTTGTTTAAGAATGCCATGTAAGCCACCTTCTTTTCTTGGCAGCTGACATTTACATTTTGGATTCCATTTTTTCAGTGGGTTGGTCTTGAAAAAGCTTGACAAGAAATTGGAAAGAACTCTTCTGCATTCATACCGCAAGGTACACCTGTTTTGTACCCCAAAAAAAAAAAAAAAGATCAGAGTCACTCATATCCAAAAATGGCTTTAGTCGGAAGGTTCACTATAATTATCATCTCTTCTCATTTTATATAATGCTGAGGAAGCTTTTTGGACACCTTGTTTACAGCGTCCAAGTATCAATATTTTATTGTTAATTATAAAGTTGATGACTTAAAATCCACAGTTGAATTCATTGCTTCTGCAACTAGTTCTATTGTGTGATGAATCTCTGAATTTATATTTTTGCTTGTTTAGCAGTTGGGTCTTTAAATATGACATGTGCGCTCATTTGGATGTCTGTTTTGATTGTCATTGTCAGGATTTGACAGCTCAAGTTTCTGCTGAAACTGATCCAGTTGCTCTTCTGCCTAAAGTTGTTTCCCTCCTATATATTCAGGTTCCATCTCTGGATTCTTTGCAAGCGTGGCAGCTTTGATAGCTCTTGCACTTATTGAACATGATTTTCTTTTGTAGGTTCACAGTAAAGCTCTTCAAGCCCCTGGAAGAGCCATTTCTGTCGCTGTTTCTCGATTGAAGGTATGCAGTGTTTGTAAAATTTTACTAATTAAAAATCCGATTTTCAAACTACATGCTTTTTGCAATGCATTTTAAGATTTTTCCAAAACTGAGTTTCGCAGTCCTTGGTCACTGATGTGCTGCTAGAACTAGTTTGTCGTTATGGATGGTGTGATTCTGTACTGGGTTTGGGGCTATGCTACCAACTCCAGCTCCAGACTCGGCTCTCATTTGGATGAGGTGTTAAAATATTTGCCAGCAATTTTAATGATGAGAGGTAGCAGAAGCTGGTCTAAGTGGAAACTAACTTAAAGTTAAGTGCTGTATGTTTTCATTTTGTTTGATAGATTCTGAATGACCTCAAAATCTCGTGTTGTGAATCTATCATTCGCTTTTGGGTTATCCTTGTGCACTAACAAACGGATTTAAAAAGCAGAAGTGGTGTACCTTATACATCCCATCGGCAATGAAAGGTGAAAGTGATGTAGAACATAATAATAACAAAGATAAAAGAAGTAGAATTTCCTATAGGAGAGGGATTGAATAGAAGAAAAGACAGTAAGATTAAGCAGAGAAGAGATAAGTCCCTATAGGAGAGGGATAATAGAGAAGAGAATGATAGAGCAAATTCGAATAGCAAGTCTCAATTCAATTATCAATTAGTCTGCCTAAAAAATAGAAAAGGTGGTCTTAAATATGCACCGCAGGATACTTTTTAAAGAAGGAAAATAAATAGCAATAATGAAGATGCAAGAATTCTAACTGACTCAGACAATTAATACAAAACAAGAAATTGAAGCTTATTTTTTTATAGCTGGTTCCTGGAATGTTATGCTAATATCCTGTAAAAAATCATGTCAACTGCTGAAAATCAGTTTCCGTTTGACATACATCTATTCATTTTTAAAGACTGCATAAATTGCTGAGTGCTCTCTCTCCATAATGGAGATGCAGAAACCTTATTTTGAATTGTTTAAATATTTTTCTGCTATATGGTGGTATTGGGAAACAATTACATCACATCTTATGTACCTCTGAAAGAAAAATGTTTTATCAGTCTGTCTCACATTGAGTATGAATTGGGATGTTGCAGTGTGGAATTTTGCTGGTTGTTTCTTTACTTGTAATATCGTTTGCGGTGTAGACACTTCTGTTTTTAGTTGCATGTTTATGCCATGGATTAGTTGATGTTGCCATTTGTCTTTGTTGGAAACTTGGAATTCAGGGTTTAATGCAAATATACTTTTAGTCACTGGTCATTAAATAACTCACCCTGGTAGATTGGATTTCTTCAGGGTTTTGTTTATCACATGCGTCCTACATGTATGCCATTTTGCAGGACAAACTAGACGAGTCAGCATACAAGATCCTGACAGAATATCAAACTGCAACAGTAACCCTTCTATCACTTGTATCTGCTTCAACTGGTGACGTGAGTAAACATGTTTTGGCCTTCACTTATTCTTGGTTTGGCACATTTATCTTTGTTACATCTGCCCCTCGTGATTCTGTGTTCAGTTAATTTCAAATATTTTTTGTCGTCACTTGTCACAAAATTTGTAAGGAAAAAATCATTTAGCTGCTTGCTTTTGCAAAGAAAATATAAACGTTGACACATGTAAACAAGGCTGTGCATCCTGGTAATGTGTCTAGGTTTGTGACAACTCTTGTTTATGAAACATGATTAGTCTTTTATGTAATGCTGATTGTTACTCAAATTTATTGTTCTTTTTCTGTTTTTCTCAGGAAGAAGACTGTACATCTGATAGGATTTTGAGTAAAAGGGAGCTTCTGGAGAACTTGATGCCAGCATTGAAAGGCCTCGTTTTGGGAACCACACAATCTTGACTTGGAGTCATTTTAAATTCCAAATCGTCTTTGGCAGCTGGAAAATTCTTGCGTTCAGAGGGCAACAGTTTTTCCATTTTTTTTAATGGAAAGATATTGAGCAATGTTTCTGAACAGATCCCCTGCTGCTCATCTTTTGTATTTGGGAAGCGGACTAGAGACTGGCCAGTCTGAAAAGTGAATGTGTTGATTTCCAATTGTAGCTGACCATCTTTCAGCAATCAGCATGCTTGATATAGAATTTGATGGATCTGCTGAATAGTCAGTTCAAAGTTATGGTTGGCATGGATATAGAATGTATAGGTCGGAATATGGAAAAGGATAATGCTATGGAAAATGCGTAGAATCAAAGTAATACTTGAAGTAAAATTGTGAGGAACCTGAAAACATCCATACGGGCACTGATTGCAAATGATTTTCAATTGATAATTTTCAGGCACAAAAGCAAACAGATTTTATGGTTGCTTTGACTAAATAGTAATAAACCTTGCTGTTAGCTTGCGCGTCTTTTTAATTTCCTGGGAACAAGTATTAGCTGTTCTTCCTATTAGTTAAAGCTCATGATATTTTGTTATGAGGCCAAACCTGAGTAATCCACGTGTCTAAAAGTACTGCACTAAATATCTAGGGCATGTAATGCTGTTTTGGGCTTGTACTAGGTTGGAAAACTAGCTATAGATTAAACACGAGCAATTGGGCTTTAGCTACCTGGCTTGACAGCGTCTTTGCCGAATGTGCTAAAGGGCCAGCTCCAACCCAACCTGTCTGCTCTTTGACTGAGTTTGCCGAACCATCTTTTTCTTTGCTTTTTCTTTCTGCCCAAGTGCCGGTATTTAATATGTTTTGACTCTTGTGTTAGTATTGTTTTCGATTAACTTGTTGACAACCGCTACGTGCAATTGCTTAAATTGCTTTAAACTCAACCACATAATATAATATTGGTAACATGTATTTTTTTAAAAAAAATTCCCGATTCATTTGATTATCGTTTTGGTTCACCTGGATTAAAAATTCATTCATTTTTTTGTCGACAAATGGCGTGCACGTAGTAGCTTGAATCAGTGAGACTTGAGCTTTCTAAGGAAAATCAAAATAACAAGAAACAAATAAACATCTAACGTCAATCATTTAGCTTAAACAAGTCAAAAACATCTTTGAATTTTTAAGCACTCAATCAACGAAGAAGTCATTGCGTATTTTATATATGTGTGTGTGACCATCTCAATTGTGTTTCATGCATGTAGACCTGGTCTAGCAATAACAAGTCGGATGAGCTTTTCAGGAATTAGGAGTTATCTAATGCTCCTTGATCATCACTCCATTGGAGAGGGAAGAAAGTGGGAGGACTCAAAATGAAGGGAAAGAAATAGGAGGAAAGATAAATCTGGAGATTTTCCTCCTTTTTATTTGAAAAAAGTGAAAAAATGAAAGGAAGGAAAATGGGAGGAAGATAGTTTCTCATTAAGGAAAAAACGGAAGAAGGAAGATTAGTATCTTTTTTAAAAAGTTCAAAGTTGACTTAAATTAATTGAATTCAAGATTCAACTATATCATGTTATTAAGAATATGAGTATAACCAAACCGATGTTTTAGAGTAAAACTATGATTACGAATTTGGTTAGAGTTTCAAAAGAATTTCATCCATTTCTCACTAATTTGGAGAGGTGAGAAATTGTTGAGAGGGTGTTAAGTTCTCTTCCTTTTCAATCTAACTCACTTTCTCTTTCGTTTTCCAAGAGTGAAAAATTATTTTCTCAGCTCTATCAAATGATCATTTCAATCTAAAATTTTAAACTCGTTATGTGAAGTTTAAACATATAATTTATATTATTTTTTTAATATTTTTTTTAAGTAAAAACTATTTGTATAAACCTTCCCTACTTTATATTTATTTAATTAAAAAAAAGATAATGATACTCAAATTCACTATTATTTGATTATTAAAATTTTTAAATCATATAAAATGATTATCTCAATAAAAAAAACTTAAATGTGAACCCAACGTCTTGTCAATAGCATGGATTTGTTGGCGAAAATGGTAGCGTATCTCGTATAAAGGTAAAAACGTTTTTTTTTTGTGATTACTTAAGAGGCAGTTAGTTATGTTTATTTTATTGTTTTCAAAAATAAAAAATAAGTATATAAAAAAGTCTATCACGCATCTTTTTGGAAATATTCCACAATTCAAATCTTTAAACATTTAGAGAAATCCCACTATATCCAGGTAGAACTTCAAATTTAAACAACTTTCGCATGTGGACTAAGCATCATAAATAGCTATTTAATAATAATTTTTTTTAAAAAAAAAACCAGTGGTGAAACTCAAGCTTTAAATGTCAAATTGAATGAACCTTCTACTCTAGTTATTGCTACCTCAACTAACCATCTTGGATCTGTCACTATTTTATCGAGAACACAACTAACTCATTAATATTCAACACAAGTCTGCACTGCTTTATGGATATCTATCGTGAAACACAAAATCTGCCTCGTTAGAATAAACTAGTTCCTCTCAAAAAACAAATTAATTAATCATTTAATTCCTTACATTTTATCTATATATATTTATTTATAAAATAATTAATAAAATAAAAATAAAAAACTGTATTTAATAATTAATTGACTTCTTTAAAAAAATTATTTTAATTATTTTATTTCAAATAAATTGGTTATACAATGTTAAAAAAATATTCATAGTAAATAATTTGCATTATGTTAGAAGATATATAATTAATTTTTAATAAAATCAATGATTCAATAAATTTTTTATATATCTTGATCATACCTGGTGAAATGAGATAAATTATTTGAAATATACTTTTAACCTTTTAGAATATATATATCATTTAAAAATTATAAGAATTCATGATATATATTATACCAATTTATTTTTTTAAGAAAAAAGAAAAAAAATCATGTTTTAAAATTTTATTCTAAGATTCAAACCTAGAGAAAAATAAATTATATTTATCAGTAAATAAAATATTATATAAAAAATATTAATTGGATGAGAATTTTCATAAAAAAATGATAAATTCAAAGAAAAATTTAAATAATAAGAATAATATAAGCTGAAGTAAAAAATGAAAGAAAAATAAAAACTAAGGATTGGAAAAAATGTTACAATGTGAGGGATAAAAAATAGAAAAAAGCATTAAATTTGCATATTAATACCCAAAAATACACAAAACAATCACACACAAAAATTACTTAAATTGTCATCAAGTAAATAGTAATTTTATTTATATGAACAGTAAGTAAATAGGAATTTTAGACATATAAACGGTTCGGATTCTTTCGCTACATTACGTACCGAACTATACACTGCATGATCGAATTAAACATATTTATTTCGGCTTGATAACATATACTATGTTGACGGTTAATTAAAATACATTAAATTAAATATAAAAGATAAAATTTCATCTAATTTTATAATTTTTAATCAAAATTTTGTATATGTGTGTGTGTGTGTGTGTGTGTGTGTTTTGAATAGATTTTGAAGTAAAAAAATATGATTTGTTCTTTCTTATGCATTTATTCTTAAATAAAAACTCATAATAAACAAATTTTAATAGAATTTTTTTAAATATTTTTTTCATAACATTGCATCAAAGAAATGAGTAATAATTAATATAAAAATGTTTATGAAAATTAACAAATGAAACTTTTTACCGATGAGACAATTATTTTTTTAAATATACACATTTGATTTATATATATTTATTTACAAAATAATAAATAATATTAGTATATAAAATTGTATTTGAATTATTAGACGGATATTCTAAAATATTATTTTAATTATTTTATTTGAAAAATTTTATTTTAAATATTAAAAAAATAATAACAAATAATTGGTATTGTATATGTGGATGTAGAGTTGATTTTTAATAAAATCAATGACTCTAATATTATTATTTTATATATATCATGACCGTACTCAATAGGTAAGAATGTATAGAATAAATTAAAAAATATTTAAAAAATTAAATGGTAAAATATATATTTAAGTTAATAAAGTATAGTAAAAAATATAAAATTGATTTTGATAAAATTTGATTATATAAAAAATAAGAAAATAAAATACATATATTTTATTTTTAAAATTTGATTATATAAGAACTAAGCAAATAAAAAACAGCTATAAAAAAACTTATTTGAATCCATACATAGAGAAAATAAATCATATTTATTAATAAATAACATTATAGAAAAATAAGAATAAAAATTAACTTAATGAGAATTTTTATCGAAAAGATCAATTTTAAATAATAAAAGTAGTATATTTATTCTAAAATCTAAAAACACATCGTATATATTATATAATCGTTAGTTTGTTTGAAAAAAATAATGATTGATTTTCAAAATTTTAGCACCCAATTAAATTTATAAAAAAAAAAACATAAATTGATGAAAAAACAAAAAAAAAAACCAAATAAAAAAAGAAAAGAAAAGGCAATGTAGTGCATAAGTTAGGAAATTAAAATTTTTATTTTAAAATTTTAAAAATTAAAATGAAACAACTTGAAAAAAAAAAAACAGCAATAACAACCCTAAGCTATAGGCATGAATATTGGCTTGTGACGGGTGAATAGTAATTTTTCACTGTTCAAAATTAAAATAAAACAACTTGAAAAAAAAAACCTAAGCTACAACAATGAGCCCCTTCTTTTAGTGTTATAGGAATAGTAATGCACTTTTATCACTTGCATTTTTTCAAGTCTCCATCCTCTATGCTTCTCTGTTGCGGCTCTTTGTCAAACAAATTACGCATTTTCTTTCCTTTTTATGTTTCCTTCCTATCTCGTGGGGTCCAAAGAACGAGATTAGGTCTCCATTTGCCACCTGCCCCCTGGTGGGGTATTCATATACCAACTCCCCTGCACGCACCTTCCTTTAGTGGAATCCATTTTCTCTTTCATTCCTAATAATGTTAGAAAGCGAAATATATGCGTAAGAACTAACCCGTCAAAGACGACAAAATCATTAGAATGGAGGAATACGTGTTCAATCCATTTAGCTGGTGCCAATAATTAAGTTAGGCTCTTTGTGCTTATTTCAGTGGAATTAATATCTTACCGTGGTTTAAATAAAAAGTCATGCCACTTGAGGAAAAAAAAAAAAAACGATTTTCCTACATGTTTCCGACCATTTGATAAATGAAATTATCAAAATAAGAATCCATAGGGAAAAGGATCCCTTTGTATAGTCCAAGTTGTAAAATGAGAAATCGAAAAAAGAAAAAAGAAAAAAGTTGTGTCTGATGAAATTGAGAATGATATTGAACGAGTTGAATGGTTTCTGTTCTCAATGGGCCCCTTGAATCAAGCCTTCATTGGTGGTGTCTTGTTGCCTCTTTTCTTTAAGCGAGATTTTCACTCAAATTCGGAACTTTACAAAGAAAGATGAAGATTGATCGTGAGTCTTATGACTTGTTGTGATGTTAGTTCGTAGAAATCAAAATATACTTCAGTTCAGTTTTTCATTACAACTTACTTTCATTCTTACAACTTGACTCTCAAAATCAATCCTAAAGTTTGTGAAAAGTTTTAATTTGATCCTTAATCATTACATGTTCAATGGAATATAAAGAATCTAATTAAATTCTTAACTTTTCCCTTCCTCTTCTCTACCTTCTCAGTTGGAAGCTCGCATCCATCATGATGAGAATCTTAAACTTTTTGAAAATGGAAAGATTGATTGCGAGTACACAAATATGGGTAGCAAAGCTTTAAAAAGGGTTAATTTCTATTTACCCTTCGAAAGTTTCGATTGCATCCATGGCTCTTTTGAAGTTTTAATAACATATCAATTTTTTTCTATGAAGTTTCAATTGCATATTAATATTCTTCTTTAAGTCATCCAAATCAACACAAAATATTCTTTCAGTCCTTAAACTTTTGAATTTTTTTATCAAATAGACCATCTTAAAATAATTTGATGAGATCAAAACTTCTATTCAAATTAAAATGTTCAAATGATACCATGTATGTATTATTTATATTAAAGACTATAAGATACCCTATCAATAAAAAAAAATTGACATATAGAAATGTGATTGCACAAACTTTATAATTTAGAAACGAAATATTGTTTTCCGAAAACAATGAGGGTCAAAAAACTTCTAAATAAGAATGTAAAAAAATAAATTTGAAGACCAAAATAACTTTGCTTAATAATTACAAAGATTAAAATAAAAATTTTGACAAATTATTTTTTAATGGTATTGAATGTTATTAAATGGAAAATCAAATTGGGTATGAGTTCAAATGGCAATTAATTCTTGAGTGGTATAGACCAGGTAGTTGGATATATATCTTTCACTATTTTTTATATATTTTTAAATATAAATTATATGTGTATTTGGATATTTTAATTAAAAGTATAAGATTTTATCTCATCAAATTATCTACAAAAGGTTTTATTGAATCAAATTTCAAAAGTTTAAAGGTTAAAAAATAAATTTGTTAGTTAATACAATATTGAAACATCAAGACATTAATACAATTGAAATCTTTTTTTTAAAACAAAAAAGTAATTTTAATGACGGAGCCTTACATTTGTCTAATGCATTAAAGAAATTCATCGAGACACTGAGTTCTAAAATTTAAATTTTAAAAATAAAAAATTGAACAAGTATTTTTAAATATCAAACCAGTCTGTTCAAATTTGGTATTTATAATAAATGGTAAGTAGTAATTAGTGTGAGAAAAAAAAAAAAAAAAACTACTAATTCATTACTGATACAACGATTGTGAGATTTTTGCACTCGTAAGATATCAGGGGTTCAAATCCTCTTTCCTTTCTTGCTCTTGCTAACGACTAGCCACTAACTGTCTAATTTACTAACCCCTAAGAAATAACTGTCTAATTTACTAATGTCTACCTAAGAAATGACCAACTGCAAGATTCTATTTATAAAAATAATAATTTGTGAATAACATAAATAAATAAATGTGTCGGTTGGTCACTGTCTGCCTTTTATCCTCATTTGTCATTAAAGAGGCAAACCATAAACTTTTTTTCTGTTTTCAATGACTCATCCATGGAGTAGCTTCAAACTTCCATGTTCCATATTCCTTAATTTTCTGATCTAAATCAAATTAACAGAAGAGGTTTCATCTACCCCATCCCATGTGCTAACAAAATTCACCCAAAACAAGCCTCACCCTTCTAAAACCATAATAGCTGGTTGTACTCTGTAATTGTATTCCCTTGGCTTGTTTGTTTGTGCAAGTGTTTTGGTTCCTACTTATTAATTTAATACAAAACATACAGTATTTAGGAAGCTGTCATTATCTGGGTGGTAACCCTGTTCATACCAGCTTGTGTTTTGAGTTTTGAATGCTCTTATTCAAGTTCGAAGTCCTTTTTAGCATTTCACAGCACACACCCGATTTACCTTTGTCCTCCTCACAGGTATTTCCCATCTGGGTCTCTCTCTCTCTCTCCATGGGAACCCGAATTTTGTTAAAGGTGCCATCGTTTCTTCTTATTTTATTCAGTTGCCTTCATGGGCTCTCTTAGTTTTCATTTTTTTTGTGATTACAAACAACTACAACCTCCTTTCCTTGTATTGCTTTTGACAACTTTAGGTTTTTCCTCTTTCTTATTCGGTTCTATCTATTGCTGTTTTAGATTTCTTCCATATCTGTAACTGATAAACTCAAGATCTTTACTTGCTCTTGCTGTATGATACAATCTTGGATTTTGATTTCACTTCCTCAATTATTCAGCTCTTGTAAACGATTTTGGTTTCTACTGTTTTGCTATTGATTACTAGTGCTACCTTGGTGCTCTTCCTTGGTAAGAATCCTGTTTTAGCTCAAATAGATTTACGTATTTCCTTTTTTACTTAATAAAGTTCCAGATTTTGAAATGATGGGTGGTAGAGGATCTACAGTTTTCATTTGTGTACTTCTATCAATCTTAAGCTCGGCATGTTTATCTAGTGGATTTACTCCTGTAGACAATTATCTTATAGATTGTGGATCACTCACCAATACTACAGTTGGTGACCGTGTTTTTGTTGCTGATAACTCTGCCTCCAACTTTCTTTCAACCCCAAAAAACACTTTTGCAAAGGCTTCAATATCTGTTACTTCCGGGGATTATTCACCGCTCTATCAAACAGCAAGAATCTTTGATGGGACCTCAAAGTACACCTTTGGGATTAGTCAACCTGGGAGACATTGGATTCGCCTCTATTTCTATCCATTTGTTAGTGGTAGTTACAACATGAGCAGAGCGAGTTTTGATGTTACCACCCCAAACCATGCCTTTCTCATCAATTTCAATGTGAAGACTTCTGTCGTTAAAGAATTTTCGGTTAATGTAACCTCAAAGAACCTTGTTATCACTTTCACTCCTTCTGGGAATTCATTTGCTTTCTTAAATGCCTTGGAAGTCGTTTCAGTTCCTGATGGGCTCATTACAGATGATGCCGATACTTTTAATCCAGCAGGGGGATTCAAAGGCCTGCCGTTCCAGGCACTGGAAACAGTTTATAGGGTGAACATGGGTGGGCCAACAGTTTCCTTTGAGAATGATACCCTTGGGAGAACTTGGGTTCCTGACAAAAATTTTCTCATCGGAAATAATCTTGCTATCAGCATATCCAATTTTGCAGCTGTCAAGTATGTAGGTGGTGGGGCAACACAGGAATCTGCTCCGAATGCTGTATACGGTACTGCCACTAGAATGAACTCAGAGAATGATCCCAACAGCAACTTCAACGTGACCTGGGAGTTCAATGTGAATCCAGGGTTTCAGTATCTTCTTAGGTTTCATTTCTGTGATATAGTAAGTAGAAATCCTAACGATCTCTACTTCAATGTTTACATCGACTCCTGGCTTGTTGCTGAAAATTTAGATCCAAGCAGTGTTGCAGATGCTTTGGCTGTTGCATTTTATAGGGATTTTGTTACAGCAGCAAGGGTTAGCAATAAGCTTCGTGTGAGTATTGGCCCAACTAACACTATTGATAATGTCTACCCCAACGCAATTCTAAATGGGTTGGAGATCATGAAAATGAACAACTCCTTGGGCAGCCTCGGTGGGCCAGCTCCTGCTGTTTCTGATTCAAGTTCAAAGAGGAATGTTGGTTTGACAGTGGGCTTGAGCATTGGAGCAGTTATCCTAGTGGTGTTGGCTGGAATTTTCTTTATGTTCTGTAGAAAGAGAAGAAGGCTGGCACGCCAAGGCCATTCTAAGATGTGGATTCCTTTATCCATCAGTGGAGGAAATTCTCACACCATGGGTAGTAAATACTCGAATGGAACAGCCACTAGTCTTGATTCTAATTTGGGGTATCGCATTCCTTTTGTGGCAGTTCATGAGGCAACAAACAATTTTGACGAGAGTTGGGTTATTGGCATTGGTGGTTTCGGGAAGGTATACAAGGGAACTTTAAATGATGGTACAAAAGTGGCTGTTAAAAGGGGAAATCCACGCTCCCAACAGGGACTTGCTGAGTTCCAGACTGAAATTGAGATGCTCTCTCAGTTCCGGCATCGCCATCTGGTTTCATTGATTGGTTACTGTGACGAAAAGAACGAGATGATCTTGATTTATGAATACATGGAGAATGGGACTCTCAAGAGTCATCTGTATGGCTCAGGTTCTCCCAGCTTGAGTTGGAAGGACAGGCTTGAGATATGCATTGGAGCAGCTAGAGGACTTCATTACCTTCACACTGGCTATGCAAAAGCAGTTATTCATCGTGATGTAAAGTCTGCCAACATCTTGCTTGATGAGAATTTCATGGCCAAAGTAGCTGATTTTGGGCTTTCAAAGACGGGACCTGAAATTGATCAGACCCATGTGAGCACAGCAGTGAAAGGTAGCTTTGGATACCTTGATCCTGAGTATTTTAGAAGGCAACAACTGACGGAGAAATCGGATGTTTATTCATTCGGGGTTGTGCTGTTCGAAGTCCTTTGTGCCAGACCTGTTATAGATCCATCCCTTCCAAGAGAAATGGTTAACTTAGCTGAATGGGCAATGAAATGGCATAAGAGAGGGCAGTTGGAACAAATTATAGACTCTACTCTTGTGGGAAAAATAAGACCAGATTCACTTAGGAAGTTTGGAGAAACTGCTGAGAAATGCTTAGCCGACTTTGGGGTGGACAGGCCTTCTATGGGAGATGTCTTGTGGAATCTGGAGTATGCCCTTCAACTGCAAGAGGCAGTTGTTCCAGGCGATCCTGAAGATAATAGTACTAATATGATTGGCGAGCTCTCTCCACAAATTAACAATTTCAGCGATGTTGATAACAGTGTTTCTGCTGCACAATTTGAAGCCTCGAGTGTGGATGACCTCTCAGGTGTTTCGATGAGTAGGGTATTCTCACAGCTGGTGAAGTCTGAAGGCAGATGACTCGGTAGATGGTAAATTTGATGGATTTAGCTCCTCCCATAACTTTGGTTTGTCATCTCACGAACCACTGCTTATCGTATCAGAGGGATGGTAAAATTCTCTTTATTTTGCTAGGAAAGGAAAACCTGTACTTGCTAAGGATGAGTTCGCTTCTTTGGTCAATTTATGAGACCCATCTCCCCAGATCGTTTTATGTCTTGTCATCGGTCTTTCATCTCCATTACCATATTCTACAGCTAGTTAGCTTTCATAAAGTTGTCTAGACCACGCTGAGTTGTTTCTGGAATCATGCAATCAAGCTACATTTTTCAGTTCTCTTTTGTACAGCAGAGATGGTTCAAGTGAGTTTTAGTAAATGTATCAAGGATGTTGAATTTTATCCTGTAGCGTGCATGTGTATTTGCTCTTGATGGTATTGATATGAAGTCAGTTTGAAGTGCATTTATTTCTAAGTTTGCAGATGTTTTTGAGTTTTTTTTTTTTTTTTTTTTTTTGCCGAAAGTATTTTTCTCGTTGTGCTTAGTATTGATATGATTATGTAGTTTGCAGCTGCTGGTATTAGAACTGATTTTCATGCTGCCGTTGTTGATCCGTTATGCCTGCAATTTCCCCGAGTTGAATGGATTGATAATATTCAATCATGCCGGAATTGGTGTGGCAGATGCTGAATTTCTTCGGATTTGAAAATGAGATATTCTTTCCAATCAGAAAAGGGAGCAGCCATTGAATTACACCTTATGATGTAGCACAATTGAAAGTTCATTGAACGATAATGATGACCAAATGATAAATAACGTTTGTCTATTTCGTCTCCATCGTAACTAATTCCACTTTGAATGGTCTTCTTCTATTCTGGAAAAATTAGTTACTGTTTTTTTGTTTTTTAATTTCTTAGCCCATACATATATTTGTATGTACGTACATACATCTATACATATATACATATCATGATGAAAGATTATTGAGTCGTCACCAGTCACCATCACGTGACGGCAGAGAATATAGCCACCGAAAGCAAAGACTTGTCATTCACCTCTCCAAATATCGGGACCCTATTTTATGATTTGTAGAGTCAGTCACCAAATAGAATGGAGAGACATGAGAAAACTCAACCAATACTAGCAAGGCAGAAGTAGAGTGTCAGGTAAGTGAGTGGTCAAAGTCCCACATATGGAGTTTTGTTGACACCGATTTTGTGAAGATAACAAACAAGTTCCACAAATATTCATTTGCTTAGGTAAAAGCCGAAACTTTCACAAATTCAAATTTCTAACTTGGTTAATTTTGACAGGATTAAAATTTCACTACAACTTTAGCAAGAAAAATCAAAGCATCACTTTGGAATATCAATCCAAAACTACAGAACACGCAAAACCTGAAAAATAGTTTCCAAGGATTCGAGAAATTGAGAAAATTCTCTAGAAATTTTTATTCAATAATAATAATCAAAAGTTATGTCCAAAATACATAAAGAAAATTGTAAGTACCATAGGTCATAACGTCGAGTGAAACAAGAATAGAAATGCGACAATTTAGCCCACAATCTTAAACCTAAAAGAATACAACTCGAGTCAAAACTAATCAATCAAATCCTCTAGTACTAAAATAAATAATCCAAAACAAGAAAGAAATATGAAAATAACCAAGTATAAAAAACAACAAATCCGAATAGAATAAGGAAAGTAAGCAATCCGCACACTCTTGTGTCAAATTTTTCGGGTTGCTTATCCTCTTTGTCTTGGCTTTTTTTTCATGGTAATATGGTGAAAGATCTATTATAGTAAAAGTAGTCGAAATATTATAGTATCTAAAAGCTCAATTTCTCATGCATTTTAATCAATCTGTTTCACTACTCTAAAAGTTCTATCTATTCTTGGCTTAAGTTTGGCATATGGTCCTAGTGGCTTTTCTTCTTCAAATGGATCCATATCAAGTCACCCTCCTTTAAAACCATTGATCTTCTAAACTTGTTTATTTGTTTATGATATTTTTTATTCTCGCTTCATGATTCTTTCTTGGACTTACTCGTGTAGCTTCTTAATCTCTTTAGCTCTTTCATTAGCATCAAAACTAAATTTTGTTTGTGTTGGCTTCGGTATAAATTCAAGTAGGGTGATTGGGTTTCGACCACATAATTTCAAAAAGACTCTTGCTTGTTGTTTGGCTTGAGGATCAATTATAAGCAAATTTAGCTTGGGAAAAATTAAATCTCACTCGTCTAATGTTCTTTTCCACAAAGTTCCTTAACAAATTATCTAGACTTATACTCGTTGCTTAGGTCTATCCATCAATTTGCGGATAAAACATGGAACCGAATTGAAGTTTAGTACTCATCTTGCACCATAAAGTCCTTTAAAAGTGATTCATGAACCTCGCACTCTATCTAAAGTGATTGTCTTCAAAATGCCATACAATCTTACCACCTATAATAAATAAAGCTCAATAGTGTGTGTTACATTATTAATCTTACTATATGAAATAAAATGAGCTATCTTTGAACCACTATCATCATTAAATCCTTAGACTTTTATGTTCTTGGAAGGCTAACCATAAAGTCTTTACCCATATTAACCCTCAATGTTTTTGAAACTAGAAATGAAATGTAAATACTCATCTTCTATCCTCGAGTCTTTACCAAGTAAAAAATTTGACATCTTTTGATGTATCTATCCACATCTCTCGGACAATAAAGGCTAATAGAAAGTCTCGATCATAATTCTTAATGTTTTATCTCGGTTAAGGTATACAATGAAGGCCTTTTTCATGACATTCAATAAATATGGCTTTTCGCAACAAACACATCGAACATATAAACAATTTCTTAAAAACAAATAACTATTAACAATATGAAATTGTTTAAAGAAAGAAGCACCATATTGTTGCCATGTATTGCCAAAGTCTTCATAATATTTGTACGAGTTCTTAATCACTTCAAATCTTATAACCATAATCTATAAGGTATAAGCAAAGTATGCCTTTGGCTAGGGGCATATGCCACTATGTTTGTGACTTTAGACTTGTGCTTGAGAATATAGTTAAATGGTAATAAAAGTTCACTCTAATTATCATGTCGGCCTTTCAACATACTCGATTATGGAGATACTTGAGAGCTTCATGATCGAAAAAAAAACTCCTCGGCCAAAAAATAAAGGCGTCGATGATCTAAAACTCTAACTATGGCATGGAACTTGTCATAAGTTGAATACTTTCTTTTGGCTTTATTTAACTTTTCACTTAAATAAGCCATAACCCATCCCTTTAGGCCAAGCACAATTCTAATGCATGCCTAAATAGGAGGCATCGCAACCTACCTTAAATAGTTTTTAAAAATCAAATTGTGATAGAACAAAAATCTATGTCTCCTTGTGCTTCAATGCTAAAAACTCCTTTTAGCTTTATTTGTCCACCTAGAACTTGTTCTTTTTTAATAATTCAATAATTAGGATGGTGATAGTGTTGAAATTCTTAATGAACTTTTGATAGAAAGACACCAAGTCATGAAAATCCTCACCTTGGTGATAGTGTTAGGTTTTAGCTAATTGAGAATAGCTCAATCTTGATAGTATCCATCTCTATCCCCTTACTCGAAATAGCATACCCCAAGAAAATCACCTTTTTAATACAAAAGTGATGCTTCTTAAGGTTAACATACAACATATGCTCTCTCAAAACACCTAAAATCCATCGTAAATACTCTAAGTGTTCATCACTCTTTTGATTATAAACAAGAATTTTATCAAAATAAACCATAATAAACTTATTAATGAATGACCAAAATATTTGATTCATCAACCTTATGAATACACTTGTTGCATTAAACAATCATAATGGTATGACCATCCATTCATAAAGATCATCATGAGTATTGAAAGTTGTCTTTTACTCATCTTCTAACCTCATTTGGATTAGATAGTAACCACTTTTTAAATCAATATTTAAAAAGATTATAGACCTATGCAATTTATCAAACAAGTCATCAAGATCGAAAATCGAAACTAATACTTAATAGTAATTTTATTCTTTATAAACCATCATTCTTCAATACTAACAATGCTAGAATTGCACATGGACTCGTACTTTCCTTGACTAGGCTCTTGTCCATAAGTTTGGACACTTGCATCCGTAAGTCTTCATGTTTTTTGGACTCATTTCTATAAGGTGATCTATGAGAAATCCTTGATCTAAGATTTGAATCTATTTCATGGCCTATTAGAAGTAGAAGGTGCTTTAGTGAGATCCTTATGGATAGTAAAAGATTATAGTCAATTTGATAATGATCAAGTGACATAAGGTCAATGGTACAATGTATATCCCATATAGGAGGTAATCCTTTAGGATCTCATTCAACACTACTCGACATGAGATTATGACCCATTTTAACTAAGTCAAATATTTAGTCCTTGTTTAGGTTGAATGTTTTAGCTTTAATTAGTTAAGGTCGAGTATTTTAGTTTATCAATTTACTTTTCTTATTTATTTTATTTAGGTATTTTATTAACATAAGGATTTCTATGTATGTGGGAGTTTATTTTAGAATCTATATTTTTTTAGATTGGACGGAATTTATAAGACTTTATTGAGTTTGGATTGGATTAAAGTTATTGAGTCCAAACCAAGTTAGAGTATTATTTTTTCCAACTAGCCGAATTTTATCAACGGTATTTAATTATCCTTATGTATTATGGAGACAAAAACCTTTTGATTATTGATTAATAAAATCCTTGAGATATTTTTCTTGACTATCTATTACATTATCCTTATGTTTGCTTAGGATTTAGTGTTTTTTATATTCTTGATTTGATCGCTTAAGATGGTGTTATTTATCATCATTACCTAAGGGTGTAGTGGAGTTCTAAATCTTAAAAAAAAAAAAATCATCTAAATCTAAAATATTTAGCTAAGGTTGTAGTGGACTTTTAAATCTTGCCAAAATCAATCTAAGCTAGGTTTACTTTTGTGCAATAAATTTTTGCTTAGCCTTACTTTTAGGTTAGATGAAT